TTAGCGAAGTCCTTGCGGCTCAGAAATCTTGCAGATCCTCTGATGGAAATTGAGAGGACTGGGAGTTGAGAAAGAGAATGAAACCAAGCACCTACCGTTGAGTGAGATTTCAAAAGCACCCGTGGAGAGAAGTTGCGTTTCTATGGCGTTAGTGATGAAGAACAACATCAAACAGGAATAAACCTACACACAGATAAACAAAGAGACCAACAAACAAACAATAGTGGATTAGGCTCATAGGATCTGGCAATGATACATGAAAACTGCATTGTTGAAAGAGAAATGGCATCTGGCTCAGTCAACAGTTAGTGCTAACCTTCCTCAATCCTACAAAGTCCTCTGGGCAATTTGGGAGGATTTCGGAGAATCGAGGCTGAATGCTACATACAATTTTGGAGGATTGTGGAGAATTGACGGCCATGTGGACATTCAGTATCGGTTGATTTTTGGAGGAATGCGGCTGAATGGTGTTTCAAGAAGAGGAGGATTTTGGAGGATTGAGGCTGAATGCATTTTGAGAGGCAGGGCTGTTGGAGGATTTTGAAGGATTGAGGCAGTGGGTATCCTTCATTTGAACATCAGTGCGATATTTTGGAGGTTTTTGGAGGATTGAGGATGGTTCAACTTCTTAGCAAAAACGGGCCTGGGGTTAGGGTAAAAGCCAAGTAAAAATAAAAACATGTTTGGTATCCTGGCCTACTTGATTTTATTGAGGCTTACTAAATCGTTGATACAACAGCAAAAAACGAAATAAAATACTGTGTGTGAGACAGAGTAAATGCCTATGTAATGGATATTTGGAGGTCCATGTTAGATAGGATCAAAAGCTAAAAAGAAAAAACACAAAAATATAAAAAATGATACATTCATTAAAAAACTGTAAAAAGTGAGGGTAGGCCTACATGTATATTTTTTTCAATATACATGAATGGTATTCTCACTATCACCACTGTTAATACCTTTTTAATTGGTTCGTTTAAATTGTGAATAATTATGGACGGAAATTGCTGATAAAAATGAGGGTACATGGTACCCACACCATCTGCTACACAACGCAGGATCGTGCAGTTACATTATTTTTAAGAATACTATTTTCATGGCCACTCTTACCTGGATAGGCCTATCCTAAACAAATTACACAATTATTTTTTTCTTCACTTTCTGATTGTTGGAATGTACATGTTGGGTGGTCACAACCAGAATACAAAACAATTTGGAATAAAAATAAATGTCTTAAAAAGAACACAGCCGAATATATTTATAATTAGTAATAAAATATGAAAGATATTTAATAACACCTTCATTAAAAAATAAATAAATAAAATAAAACCAAAGGCTTACTTTATTTTCGATGGCCCAAGTCCAAAATCCTGGGGTTTCTAAATTGAAGGCAGGGAAAGGATTGCTACCGCTAACGATCAGGATGATTAGTCCAATCTTCAGGATACCGAAAGCACTGGCTAAGTAACGCCGGACAGGGTGAGCTGGAAAGTTTTCTCCCTCGATACTGAGTTGCGGATACCGTGCTCGAAGCCGATGGGAGTACTCTTCGAACACTTGCCGGTAACCTCAGGAAATACTGAAATTTGAACAATTGTGAAATTTTACTGAAATTAAAAAAGTTGTCAAAAAAAAATACTGAATTTAAAAAACAAAATGTAGTGTGATTAATTGACAGTTTAATATTGGCCTATGGTAAACAAATTTTGAGATTCAAATCTTTTTGCCGATTTCGTAGTTACGGGTCCCACTTTTGTTTTGCTCATGGAGCTTTATTATCATTCCCAAATGACTGCCGCAACATATGCAGACTTTTTAAAAATTTTGATGCCCTTTAAAAAAAAAGTATTGATTTTCTATCGTTCGGTAGAAAATCCAATTGGGAAGATTCCCCATATCTGGCCATCACTTGTCACCCGTTGCACAAACCCTATGCGACTGGTCTGAAAACTTCTAAGTGTTTTAATTCTAAGTAAATACTTCAATATTTTCCCTGCTAAATTTGACTTTTTAGGACATATTATCACTTTCTGATGGCTGAGCCTGATAGGTCACTGAAGAGAAAAATTCGTGACGGCCAGATATGGGAATCTTTCCTTTTATCTTCGTGTTGCGTTGTGTCGTCTTCATTGTTGTTTTACCCCAAAATATGTTGCATGTTGCGTTCAATGCATTGAGTCGTCTTCATTGTTGTTTTACCCCAAAATTCTTCTCAAAAAATCAAACCCTGTCCTCTATCCATGCTATCCATGACACTCCTGTGAGTGTTGGTTTCAATTGAACATCGCTAACTTACTTGGGCGAGTCGAATAACCTAAAACTTGGATTGTCGTTCTCTTATTTACGGGGCCCTTAACAAAATCACAACCTTTTTATTATTATATATCATGATGGCAATTGAGGTGAGAAAATTTTCTTTGAAAATAAAAACCACATCATCATGATCATAAATTAAAAATCAAAGACAATAAACACAATCACAATCAAACAACATCAACAAGATTCCCAAACAAACATGACAAAAGGGTTGCAAAGTAGTTATGTGAAAGGGGACAGAAACAAAAGAAACGAAAGGAAAGAAGGAATTCACCAATTCAATTATAGTACAGAGAAACTACAAAGTACAATGAATAACGACATGACGATGTAGCGTAACGTTTTCGTTATATATGAACATGATGAAAATTGTATGTAAACTTACCAGTACAGAATTTTCAGAGAAGGACCGCTAAATTGGGAAAGTTTCATTGCTGGCCGTTCATTTGGCGTGGCCTCTGTCTGCGTTAATTCCCGTAACGTGAGAAAACCTAGACATAGGAACACTAAACCGTAAATTAGTGTTCCGTTCGCCATGATTGTGGCAGGTTTTTTACGAAAATGAACGCAGATATTTTTCGTCGTATGTTTACCACACCGGCGAATTCAAGGCAAAAACCCACGTCAATAGAGGGCTCCCTATTGTGACTTATCTGAAATTACTTGGCTACGGCTTTCATTTACACGCGCGTCTACGAAAATGAAGCCACTTCCCATAAACACATGTGTTACTGCTGGTCATAGTCACGTGCATGGCCGTGGAAGCTCCGCCCAGTGCGATATGATTGGACTTTGTTTAGTCACTGTCTGGTCACGTGTCGAAAGAAGTGTAGCGCGTTCACAATTAAGCTATATAAACAGCGCGCAACTAGCTAGCTACGAACAGGCCGACTTGTCGGCAAGTTGTCGCTAGCCTCTCAAACTCAAAGGCCGCAAGAGTCGCGTTAGCCTTCTTGTTTGGCTAACTTGACTTGTTATAGGCTGTGGTCCCTGGCTGAAGTCTGGTACATTGCGTGCCCAATTATTAGGCTGGTTTAGATTTGCTACACCCATTTATAGTGGAGTTGTGATCATAAGTTGGTGTATATATCAAACGTGGGGATATCTTTGTAAAGCTTCAAGACTCAAATGAGCGTGCTGGTCCGTATGAATACATTAGTATAAGTTGTGGAAACTAAACTCTGAGATTTCAACCAGCATCGAAGCATATTTATGAGTATGATGAGTGGTAACCAGCTTGAGGGGGACCTGCACAGGCCCCAAATCGAGGTCCAGTTGTTGAAGCGCGAGAAAACTTGGCTAATGGAGCTTGTTCCCTCGTGTCCGCTTTTGCCTCTCGTAGAGATGCTTCCAATATTGAAATATAAATTTCAATATTGGAAGCATCTCTACGGGAGGCAAAAGCGGAGATGAGGGAACTACTGGTTCGAATCCAGTCAAATGAGAAAATTCCAACAAGGAGCAGTCGAAGCGTCTGAGCGAGATGGACCAAAAGTTGGATACTGTGTTGGATGTGTTGAAGCATCCTCCGTGCTTGAAGGAGGCACCTAGTAAGGAGCCTGGGGTATCCAGAAGCATGGTCCCGCCTCCAAAGAGGCGAACCAGAGCCGACATACAGTGTTTCTTCTGCAGGGAACTGGGGCATATAAACTCGCAGGTGATCGGGCCTTCTCTATTGCTGCTCCCCGATTGTGGAATAGTCTACCCATCCCTATCAGAAACTCCGATACTGTGCCAACCTTCAAGAAGGCTCTCAAAACCCATTTCCCCCCCCCCCCCCCACACCATAGCTGGTCGTACGCCCTTGTTGTTTTTCTGTTGTTCTTTCTGTAGTTCTTCTTTCTTTGTTTCAGCGCCCTGTATCCTTTGGCAATTTGGCGCTCTATAAATCCAGTTATTATTATTATTATATAGTGAGAGAATGCATCCAGCCCAAGTGCAAATGCTCTCAGAACCAGGTGAATGAGAGTCATCAGCCGGCCAGAGCGGAGGGAGGGTCAGTAGCTCCTCTCCTCAAGGGGCCGTCCTACGGTCTATTCGTGGAAGGGTCAGTGAGATCCACCAAGTTCAATCTGTTGGTTGACACCGGTGCCACTGACTCACTCATGAGCTCAACAGTGTACTACAAACTGCCGAAAGAACAACGACCCGTCTTGGAAGGATGTAACGCTGGGATGAGACAACTGGATGGAAAACCGCTGACAGTGCTCGGCGCGGCATGGACGGACCTGCAAGTTGGGAAAACCGTGCACACAGTCAGGGTCATCGTTGCCGACATTACTATCCCAGCTATGTTGGGGATGGATTGGCTGATACCAACTCAAGGGAGCTTGGATTTCCGGAGACTGGAGCTGTGTGTGAATCGTGAAAGGATCAAGTGCACGGGGAGCACCGGAGAGCCATTTGCTACCCCTGTGGTTACATAAAACTGGAGACGCAGAGGTCTACGTAGACAAGAAAGTATGCAGGCCTAGAAAGTAGGAAGTCAAACTAGTTGGCCTATTTAAGGACTGTACGTAACTTTAGAACATGTCATGTTAGAGGCCATAGGCCAAATGTCAGCTTGAAGGAGAAATATCATCAGGAGGCAACTCAGTGCCCTTCAACTATTTTCTAACATTTGTTTGTACTTAAGACAAGTAAAGTGATTTTAAAGCAGAATCTCTTCAGTGATGAATAACATGATTTTGTTTATTTTGTAAATACACTAATACATGTACACAGAGTAAACAGTGTTGGAGTAAACACTCAGTTTTCTAAATAAATGGAGGCCCAAATCGTTAAAATTACCACCTAAGGTTCTTATGTAGGGGTACCATAATTTCTTTATTACTTAAATCATTACTAAGTATAAATCCTTGAATTTACCTAACTTTCACTAAAAACTTAGTATAAATAAAATATGAAATACCGGTGGTTTTTTTTTACATTGAAATGATCGGCACAATTTAAAGAATAGTTACTACATGAACATTGTTGTTACTCAATCAAGTTAAGATTGTTTAAACTTTTAGAAATAAAAATCTTGAAGTTTAATAAAGATGTTATAATACAATAATTGTTATTTATTTACAAGCTAAATGGCATTGGCAGGCATGCAAGTGGCATTTTAAACTCCAAACCACAGCATTGTACAGTAGTTTTCAATTTGTAATGGCATTCATGACAAGTAAAAAACGAGGAAATCAGTGGATCTGAGGAAACTTGCATGCCGGTATTGACAACTCAGTTTACACCTGGCTTGGAGAAAGTCACATATGCATCGTCTTATTATTTCCGTGATCAGCCTTGCTATCAATCTGGGTTTCTATGGTCACCGAGTTCACAATACCACTGATTCGGTTCTCTGAATTTGAATGAGAGTCCTTCATGGGCAGCCCAGACTTTCGTACAGAAGCCGACTTTCGTTGTTGGGAGCACATGTCTGAGATGGTGTAGAGGTAGGGGTTGAGGGAGGAGTTGATGGGAAGGATGAAGACGACAATCCAGGCATAGGCTTCTGTTGGTATCTCCACCACGCGGGCCTGCGACAGAATACCCATCATGATGACCGGTATCCAGCAGATGAAATCTGTCATGACGATGGCAGCCATCTTGATGGCCATGCGCACTTCGTCGTCCCTTTTCTTGTGGCGGCGCACGCGCTTGATCGATGCCTTGACTTGGATGAAGATGGCGATGTAGCATATGAGGATTACGGTGAAGCACAGAAGGTTGACCCCGAGAAACAAAGCGATGGAGAAGAACCAGGAAGCTCGGTAATCGACAGGAGACGGTATCCCCACGGTGATGTTCGCCACGCCCCCAGCATCAATCTGCTGATCCACCGTCTCGTATTCAGTAACTTTAGTCATCAGAGGCAGCCCAATGCAAACATCAGAGAGGCCGTAAACATCAGATGAAGAGTCAGTTGCAAGTATTGTGGGAACCAGTCCAACGATCACCGTACCGATCCAGACACATGATGCAGCAATCCGAGATGACTTAGGTCGAAGATGGTAAATGCTGAACGGGAAGACGATTGAAAGAAACCTGTCGATGCTGATGAGTGTGAGAAAGAACACAGAAGCCTCGCTGCCGATGATGGAAATAAACCCAGCAATCTTGCACATAGGGCTCGTCCGCCATTCCATAGACACCTCAAAATAACGCTCTCCGAAATACGCATCGGCACTGGCGATGATCAGCATGTACAACCCCATGAGGGCATCCGACACGGCTAAATTAAACACCAGGAAAGAATGAACGACACGACTCGCTCTGCCCTCTGTCTTTTCCCGACATCGCCACACCATGACAAAGATGTTGCCGACGAGGGCGCTAATACCAAGAATCCACATGAATGCTTTGAGGACCATCCTAGGCATCAGTTCGCTGCACATGAAAAGCGGAGGCTGCGGCTCAAGCGTCTTACACTCGGCCGAGGGGAAGAAACAACACAGTCGATGGTTATCAACATACCTGTCAGAAGACAAAAACAAATAAAGTTACAGTTAGGCCAAGTGCAGAGAGACTGAGTTGACTAATACGTTCAATGGTTTGGCAAGAAACTTAGAATTATACTTACAACTCTGACACATCATCAAGTCCCTTAAATGCACCATCTTCTACTTCAAGTGGTGGTAGGCCTTTGATCTTGCGGACAATTATCCTGAAAGAAAGCACAGAGAAATTATAAACAAGAAACTTGTCCCAATGAGGAATTCCTTTTAATGTGGAGTGCTGTGGCCTCATGATAAGGGCAAAGGATTTATGGTCTGCGGGTACTGTTCTGCAGGTTGTGGGTTCGGGGTCATGGTGCGTTGCCCTTGGGCAAGGCACTTTGTCACTTATTGCTTCTCTCCACCCAGGAGTAAATGGGTACCTGTGAGGGCAGAGATGGTTATTGTGCATGGTTGATTTTATACCTTCCTTGCGCCTAACAGGCAGCATCGAGCTGTATTCTCCCCAGGGAGCTGAGGTTTCAGGAGTGTTTTCCAGTTGAAACAGGGAAAACAGTAATTGTAAAACGCTATGATACCCTGTTGCAGACGTAAAAGCGCTATATAAATGCCTGCTATTATCATTATTATTATAAATTATTATTATTATTATTATATTCCTTGCCTCCAAACCTCCTTAACCACGGAGAAGGTACTCATGAGAGTGTACACTCCTATTTATTTTTATTACTATGAATATTTGACATTTGCCAGAAAAGCCATGGGAGTCTTTCAACTGTCTTGTCGAACAAGTACTTAATTAAACTCAAATACTCACAATGTCTTCACCTGACCGAGACCCGAGAATGCATCCTTCCTTATTCGCAACAACGGTACATCAAATATCGTGCTGAAAGTAAGCGGAAATGAGAAAGTCACTTTGTGGTGTGCCGTGGCCTCGTGGTCTGGAGCATTGAATTTGTGGTCTGCGGGTAATTCTGCAGGTTGTGGGTTCGAAACCAGCCTGGGGTCATGGTGCGTGTGCCCTTGGGCAAGGCCCTTTGTCACTCATTGATTCTCTCCACACAGGAGTAAATGGGTACCTGTGAGGGCAGTGTTGGTTTAATATGGCCAAGAGCGTTGAAATGGCTGCCTACATGCTGTGTATACTCTCTAGGGGGTTGAGAAGAGTGTTTGACCATTGAAACACCCGCTTTGATCCCCGTTGCTGCGTAAAAGCGCTATAAAAGCGGGTAATTCTGCAGGTTGTGGGTTTGAATCCAGCCTGGGGTCATGGTGCGTGTGCCCTTGGGCAAGGCACTTTGTCATTCATTGCTTCTCTCCACCCGGGAGTAAATGGGTACCTGTGAGGGCAGTGTTGGTTTAATACTGTGAGTGATGATAATGGCCAAGAGCGTTGAAATGGCTGCCTGCCAGCCGTGTATGCTCCCTGGGAGCTGAGAAGGTTTCAGGAGTGTTTGCCCGCTGAAACACCCGCTTTGATCCCTGTTGCTGCGTAAAAGCGCTATATGAATGACTGATGCTATTATTATTATTATAAGTTAAACAAAGGCCGGCATCAGCAGCTAAACAGCCAATAACGTCCAACACCAATACTCGGTGATCTCGCCAGGATTTTCATTCAGGGGTATGCAAGGGAATTTCAAACGACAGCTTAAGACAAAGTTTAGGGAGGAGAGGGGGACTTTTCTGAGAGGGTTGGGTCTTCTAAAGGGTATTTATGGATCTCTAGAGTGGTTCATCGTTTTCCAGAGCAGGGAGCGTGTCAGTCTTGCTCATACTTACATGCCCCGTAGCCTGGACAGTTCCTCCATGGCAGAACCTTGCAGTTCACTTATCGATGTCTTTGATAGATCGCTGTGAAGACAAAAGAGGGAACATTACAACAAAAATACTTCCAAATGCTTCCATGGATTTAATCAGTTCACGTTGGATGACGTGTTAACGGGCAAAGGTTTTGCGGTTTTCGAAACGGATGACGGATAAACATGCAACGAGCGAGGCCAGAAATGTCTGTCAGCGACCCGCTCACGGCGAGCAAGACCGGAAATATCAGGGTGTGCTACCCACAGATAACGCCCTGAACCCGTCTGGCATCGAGGTTCGTGAAAACAATCCCGTGCTTCGGTCTGGTCTTGTAAAAATAATCCCAGCGCAAACTGGTTAAGTTGGCAATGTGAATACTGCTTTAGCTGCGGTCTAATGTTTAGATTTTTGCCATTGCGTATGTTGATTTTCTGCTGGTAAATTGTTTTAAAAATTAATAAATCCAGTTGTCAGCAAATCTAGGGGAAATTTTGTTAATTCCATTTCTTTTTGTTATCTGTGAGATCTGCAGCTTGGCGTACGAAAATGGCACCTGAGAAAATCAAGGAGCCCACAAAACATACACTTACAGCCATAACAGCTTATCCAGGCCGTCAAATGTGCGTTCCTGTATCTCCGATATGAGATTGCCTCTTAAAGATCTAAACAAGAGAAATAAATACACAAATAATTTTTCTTTTTCTTTAAATGGAAAACAGGTGTTTAAATGTTAATCTCAGAATGCAAAAGCATCAAGGTTAAAATGTGTATGTCATGTTTTGATTTCTTTTCAGATTGAAGAAAATCAATATTTAAGATTTCTTCTAATTGAAGTTTAACTTGTCTACATTTCCTGATGATCCCATTATTTATTTCTGGGTTTTCCTGAAAGGATTTGCCATTTGGGGACTAATAACTTGAGCATGTTGTTCATTGTTTTCCCTCCTCGGGTTTCCCGTGCCTGAGAAGTACAGCGTCTCTATTTCGAGGTCTTCTGTGCTTTCAATACCAGAGACAAATTATTAAAACTTATGTTATTTCAAAAAGACGCCAATGTTGTTTAGAACGCGAGAAACATTGCCAATACTCACAGCACTTTCAGATGTGATATCCCTTTGAACATTCCCTGATCTAGTTTACTAATATTCACTCCAGAAAGCTGCCTGCAGATTGAGTGGGAGAAAACAAATCAAGACATTTCGGAATGTTGGAAATCAGATGTTTTATTATTCACTTAACCCCTTGAAGCCGGTATTGTTTGGCCACGGACAGCTGCACTCGATCTTACTTCAAATCTAAAAATGAAAAGGCTGTAAAAGTGTACATTTTTGAAGAATAGAAACACAAGAACTGATTTCAGTTACCTAATGGAATCAGGCGGTGCATGTGTACCCAAAAATGGCATTGTAAAAAAAATGTGACTTTTACAGAATTTCTTGCCGGTAGAACAATTTTGAACGAATTAAGAAAGCAACTTACAGAGTATGCGTTGTTAGTGCCAGGTCCGCTAACGTCGAGGAATCCCAGCCATTGGTGCAATTGACTACCAAGTCTGCGTCCTTGTAGCTACACTTACAACCAGTGGGACATCGCTTCACATCTATGATCATAAAAGGAAAAGGATGTATTCACGTCAGGTCACAAGTTGGGTCACAAGTTGGGTCACAAGTTAGCCTCACGTCATGTCACATGTCTGGTCATACACAAGTCAAGACACAAATCAAGTCAGAAATCATCACAAATCAGGTCACAAGTCAAGTCACAAGTCAGGTCACAAGTCAAGACACATGGGTCAAAAGTTGATTCACAAGTTGTGTCATAACTCGAGTCAAAATTTGGTCACAAGTCGGGTCACAATTCGGGTCACAAGTCGGGTCACAAGTCGGGTCACAAGTCGGGTCACAAGTCGGGTCACAAGTCGGGTCACAAGTCAGGTCACAAATCTAGGTCACAAGTCAAGACACAATTCATGTCACAAATCGTCACAAATCATCATAAATCAGGTCACAAGTCAAGTCACAAGTCCAGTCACAAGTCAAGTCACATTAGTCAGGTCACAAGTCAGGTCACAAGTCGGGTCACAAGTCGGGTCACAAGCCGGGTCACAGGTCAAGTCACAAGTCAAGTCACAAGTCAGGTCACAAGTCAGGTCTCAAGTCGAGTCTCAAGTCGGGTCTCAAGTCGGGTCACAAGCCGGGTCACAGAGTATGTCACAAATCTGGTAAAAAATTATGTCACAAATCAGGCCAAAAGTTAGGTCACAAGGCAAGTCACAAGGCACATCACAAGTCAGGTCACAAGTTATGTCACAAGTCGTGTTTCTAGTTGTGTAAAAAGTTAGGTCACAAGTCAAGTCACAATTCGGGTTACAAATCAGGTCACAAGATGTGTCACAAGTAAGGTTGACAAGTCAGGTCACAAGTCAGGACACAAGTCGAGTCGCATTAGTGAACCTACCGCACTGAATTTCGTCGTCAGACTCGGGGCAGTTCTCCTCCCCGTCACAAACTTGCGCCCGAGGAATGCACTGCGCCTGAGGAAGGACGTCTGCGACTGAGATGGAAGAAGAAGAATCCGAGGAGGAAGAAGAAGAATCCGAGGAGGGAGAAGAGGAATCACTACTGCTGCTTCCACTGTCTTCTGGCGGGCGGGTCGGCGGGCGGGTCGGCGGTTGGTAGGTTTGGTTTGTGTTGAGGTTGTCACACTTGTAGGAACCTGGGCAGAAGACGTCGTCTGTTGCAAAGATGTGGGAGGGAAATCGAACAGAATCATGAGTTTGGAGTAGAATACTCAACACTGGTGGCGTTCTAAGTTACAGAGCTGCAAATATTTGCATCTTGCAATCAGAGAGGTTGTGACAACAATAAGGGAGATATTTAAAATTACATTCAACATAAAAGGAAAAGTTCCCATAATCAGAGAGATTTTCAAATTTGTTCATCAGAACACGGAAAGATGGGTTTATTTTCAGGGAACTTTCTGCAGAATCAGTAAGAGTTGGCAGCTCTGCAAGTAGTATGGACTTAAGAAATTAAATAAAAGGGTGTTTCAAAAAAGCATTATCCAAGAAATAATTTAATTCTTTTCAAACTGGTTTGATTCAATTGTGACAATACCGGCAGCTGGTCAAACAACGCACATCCTTATAGCAGGCTTCCCACAGATGCCTAAAACTGAAAATTTTCCATGACTTTTCCACGATTTTTCCAGGACAAAGTTAGGGCTTTGACCAATTCCAATGCTGTTTTCCCATCTTTTAACCCTAACCGAACACAACCCATCAAAGTTCAACAGCTGAGGTTTTGTTTAAATCTGTTGGGATAGGTACAGTACCCCTAACCAGATGGTCTTCAACTTTTACATTGGGTTTGGCATACCTCCAGAAATAAAGTCCAACAGTGTGTGTGAACAATTTCCCATGTGGGTGTTGGAATTTGCCTGAATGGGTATGGTTCCTCGTAAATTATGCTGGGGAGTTAGGGTTAAAGAACCTTTTCACAATACCCTGGCCAGTCATATCAAACTGAGGCAAATAGGGAAGACTGCCATGTAGCCAAATATTACGCGTCATCACCAATGGGTTGTGCAGGTTTCCGCGATATTTCCACGACTTTTTCTGGGAATATCTACTTTCCATGATGACTCTTTGCAAAATTTGATTTTTTTCCATGACTTTCAACAACAGCTGGAAATTCCAGACTTTTCCAGAATTTTGCTCTGGACTGTGTTGACGTAGTGCTCGATTGGACAGCTCATATCCTCACGCCCAGAAACAGCCCAACTTGACAAACGACAGTTTTCGGCTTCCGACGCGAAATCCTCGGTATCATTTCCAGAAATGAATGAGACTAGTGACTTACTGCAGTCGAGTTCATCCTCGTAATTTACGCAATCCAGGTAACCATTGCAGAGGGATGAATTGGTGATGCAGAAACCGTTGCCGCAATGGAACTCATCTGGTTCGCACAATGCTGAAACAATAGAAATAACAGAAAATCAGATCAATGAACAATAAGCCATTTGCGAGTAACCTATAAACTTTGGAATTGACATTTGAAAAACATCTGGTACACTGACTTGCTCAGAATGCTTGGCACATTTTAACTTTGAATTCTCCAGACCATTAAGACACTGTTGCTAATCACGTGATTCGGGGCAAGCTCTTGCATAGTTACGTAAGAGACGCTCAGCACCAATACATTGTTCACAATGGCTGAGAATGGCACAAAGACACCAGACCATGCCGGTGCTGGGGGTTGCTAGCATAAGGCTTGCCCCGAATCACGTGATATAGTAAAAGTCTCTTTGGTTGGGAAAATGCAAAGTTAAAACGTGCAAAGCATTGGATAAAGTCAGCGTTCCAGATTTTATTCAAATTTAACTCGCAAATGGCTTATTAATTATCTAAAAGGTATAGTAGATAATTTGTCATTTGCGCATTTGTTTTGTTTGAAACAGCAAAAGTGCTCAAAATCTAGAGACGAGTACTTAACAACTAACCTGATGAAGTTTTGGCTCTGTGAATGCTGTATATTTCGTGAAAACACTATTCTGGGATCTCGATTTTAATTATAGGTATACATGATAGCTGTGAGTAGTGTTGGAGACCTGGAGATCCAAGACCGAGACTGGGAGGTCCGAGACCGAGACCACTGGGTATCAAGACCGAGACCACCAAAAACTGGTCGCGAGACCAGGGACCAAGACTGGTATCAAGACCAACAACACTGGTAATGAGTCATTATCGTCAAGTCCACGTTTTTTTGCAGAAGTGACTCAAGTCGAGTCCGAGTCACTGTGACATTGTGACTCAAGATGCGCTCAAGAGTCCCATCTGCTCCGTTCACAAGTACCCCCTCACCGGCAAAGAAAGTACAGTTGGGGGTGACCGACCGACGCCATTGACTGCAATTTTGCCGCGACGCGCAGCCGCACCATTTACCACTGCGTGTACATAGTACAACTCCCCGGTTGTACGTGCGTCACACACAAGGAACGGTGCGAGTCAACCAGCTAAATGTCCCGCCCATATGGGAGGTCGTTGCTTAAAGGACGCCCTCATTCGTTGGCGCACCGAGCCCATGACACTGGCTGTGGGTGCAAGACTTATGAGTTATTGCAATGGAAAATCTTCCCCAGACTGACACTTAAAAGAGTGATATAGGACCGGGTACCTAGACTTACGATAACGAGTCACTGCAATGGGGAACCCTCGCCAGACTATATTATACTGTGAATGGCACTGACACTGGGTACCAGACTTACCCTCCAAATCGCCCTCTTCGAATTCTTCGGTAAAGTTCTGATAATGACTTATCAGCAAGGAGAAACCGCGCCGTCCGGTGGTGCGATCTGTCTTCATTTGCAACTTGAGGACTCCGGCATCATGATCCCACGTCACGGTCCGCCTCGAGACGTCCGCCCCCGTAAGACGAAAGAGCTCTTCAGGCCTCTCCCCCTCCCCAAGAAAAACGACCTTTAAGTAATCGAAGCCGTCCTCCATTTCGAAATCCTCGATCCGCATGGTCACCGGTGTCATCAGCTCGCCTTTGATGAGCCAGATGCAGTTGAGGTCGTTCGGGTACCCGCCTGGATACATCGGCGATGTGAGGGTGAAGGGTTTTTCATAGACGTAGATGTTTTGTGGTCCGCATTCGCCTGTTTTAAAGTAAAGCCCCAGTCACACGTTTAGGGTTTGGAGCTACGAATATCCACGGTTTCACCAAGAATCAATCGATCACGATGAGATTCGTGGAGAAATCGACTTTCGAAGAATGAAATACGGTTTCAGGACGGATAGCCACGACTGTCCTACGGTTTCTCTACGAATGCACACACGCTTAAACAGGCATAGAAGTGGGGTACTTCCTTTGTTCTCGTGGACTAAAATTTTGCAATGTTGCACACTAATGTGTAAATGCTCTTATTCTAACCAGATTTAATTTCCTGGGCTGAAATTCGGACTTAATATCCCTTTTCTAAAACTCTTCCATTTGCGACAGATCAACCCACCTTGGAAATTCCTACTTTTTGAGTAAAATCCATATATCTATTTCGTGAAAAACTTGTGGGGTACCAAAACGGTACCCCGCAAGTCGGTGGGCATTCCTTGTGGGGTACCTCCCGTTGTTCCGGTACCCCATAAGGCAGTGTTTATACGTTCACCATGGTTTGTCAAGAATATGGACGGATTGGTGAGGAATATCGCAGGCAACAGGGGGAAATAATTTCACAGGGTGTTTAGTACCAGTACGGTCTCTAATCCAAGTAAGTTTGTGATAATTATTTGGTAGGTTACTTAAGGGAATAAATGAAAATGGTCCTTTGTGCCTGTCACAGAATTAAGTTGCCAAATATATTCACGAATCCAAGTTATGCTTACCGCAGTTAGACTCATCTGATCTGTCTGGACAAAGTGCAAAACCATCACAAGTGTCGTCACGTGCCAAGCAAATCAAGCCTGACGATGCGTCCTGGCAAGCAAATTCATCTTGTCTGCAAGAAGCTGCACAAAAAAAATGAAAAAAAAAAGCTCCAAACTTTACGAGCTATCAATGACAAACACTGTAGGACACTTATTTCACGACACTGTACACGATGGCATAGGTCAACTTAATGTGCAACATTTTGTAACTAACGTCGCTTTGTCTAACAAAAGCGACGTTAGGGCCTATGCAACCACACGGCTGTATTAATGCACAAAAAGTTTTACTCATGCATATTCAAGCGATACAAAAACCACTGCTCTCTGGCGCCGCATTAACTCGTAAGGTTAATCGCACAATTTTTTTCTTTGTGAAAATGCTACCCATGAGAGTACCCATTACATCTTCTCACCTTGAGATCTCTCTTGCGTGATCGTTACCTCGAATCCAATCTCGTTTAATGAATAATCGCTCTTAAACTCCATCCATGCCGTGTGGTCCTTGGAAAAAACCGCTAGACTCGTCAGAGAACTGCTAAAACGACCAATTACGGAAATGCCGTCGGAGGGAGCGTGGCCATTGCCAATGGTCAAGGTATCGTAATGTCGCTCGGTATTGAACGCGGAGAACCGCAAGGCTATCGTGGAGCCTACGTCCGCTGTGATTAACCAGGCACACAGAGCGTAGTCGGGATAGTCGTTTGGGTAATTCAACGAAGCCAGTGTTGCTGAGGTGTGCGTTGAGTTGTTGAGAGTGACAACGCTTTCTCCGCATGGAACTTTAAAAGACAAAAATAAAAACAAATGGCGAGTCAGTCCTTAGAAAGGAATGAGAATTTTTGTTAAACAGAGCGAAAACAAAGTATACTAAGTCTGCGCAGGATTTGCATTTTACAGGATGGGGATAAAACGACTGGGACAATATTTGTTGATACTTTTGACAATCCAAAATTTGTATCATAATGGCGGTTTTTTAGAATGGTGGATGTTTTAAATTTAGACACTTTTAATAATGGTTGCAGTTTCGTATCATGGTTTTTTTTAGGTGCAAGTGGTTTGCAAGTATTTAATTCTCATTTGCCCAGAACGGTGACCAAAATGCACACACGCTTCAACTTTAAGAACATGTGTTCAATATTTAGCGTAGCGGTTCTTTCCTCGCCTTCCACCGCTGTGGCCCGGGTTCGAATCCCGTCTGGGCCAATATGTGGATTGCGTTTTCAGTCCCTACCGGATTCCTAAGGTTTTCTTGAAAATATTCTTCTAGGTTCCCCCCCCACCTCTAAAACTGCATTTTCGTCTCATTGTCTTCTCTCTACAGGTTTTTTTTCGAAAGAACGTTGCAACCTGACGCTGCTTTTTTTTCTTCATATATCATCTCAATGAAGGTCATTCATTGCAAAAATGACGATAAGACACGAATCTGGGACTGAGAAACATTTCCAATTTTGTTAGGAAATACTTTCTTGACTCTCGATAGACTTTGTACACAACCGCTGAAGTAACATCAGGTTGAAGTATTTTTGCAAAGTACAGTGCGGGGGAGTGTGTGGCCTAGTGGTTAGGGTTCGTGACTCATGATCAGAGGGTGCGGGGTTCGAATCCAGCCGCTGGTCATATATTGTGTCCTTGGGCAAGGCACTTCACCCCCACTTGCCCCTCTCCACCCAGGAGTATAAATGGGTACCAGCATTAGCTGGGGAGTAATCTGCGATGGACTAGCATTCCATCCAGGGGGAGTAGAAATATTCTCAGTCGTTTCATGCTACTGAAACCGGAGATAAACGCCGGCCTGATGAGCCACGTTGGCTCGGGACAGACTTACTACTACAGTGCAGATTATGTTGTCAGCAAAAGCTAGCGCCATGATTTCACCACTAAAGCGGGCCCCAATCGGCGCACCGGTACTTACAGCAGTTCATCTCATCCAACAGATCCAGACAATGAGCTGTCCCATCACAAATCTGTTCAAGCGCATCAATACAACTGCCTTCTGGACACCTGTACTGCTGTTCAGAGCACGGCCCTGCCAAGATGAACAAAAAAACAATGCACTATTCTTATAGGAGCATGTATACTGATATTGGATTTTATACAGGGTGAGTAAAAAAAAAAACGAAACCCAAATGTCGGGACCATTGTTTAAGGGAAGTTCTACATGTAGCACTTTCAATATCTAGGATATAAAAGCCAAATTCATAAGCTTTCTTTTGGTACAAGAATCATTCAAATCACTCATGTACTTTTCAAGTTACGGAATTTTAAACACAACCACCGTTTTAAGGTTCTGTCCACGGATCGCAAAAAAGTTCACTGTTCTTTCAGCAAAATGAAAACAAATCACATAGGGCTGTGTGTGAATTGTTTTCATTTTGCTGAAAGAACGCACACCTTTTTGTGATCCGTGGACAGAACCTTAAAGCGGTGGTTGTGTTTAAAAAGCGGTGGTTGTGTTTAAACTTGAAAAGTACATAAAAGATTTGAATGATTCTTGTACTAAAAGAAAGCTTATGAATTGGGCTTTCATATCCTAGATTTTGAAAATGCTACATGCAGAACTTCCCTAAAACAATGGTCCCGACATTTGGGTTTCATTTTTTTTACTCACCTTGTATAACAGACATACAGACATGACAGATCCTTGTCATTTGATTGGTGGAACTCACATCACGTGACATTCGTTATTGTTCCCATTCACGCCGGGGCTCAAAAAGTCCCATTCGCCCATAGGGAATGGGAAGTACTATTGAACAGTTAGGATCATTCTTGTTCCATGACGCGGTATTTATGTGCAAATGCATGCTGGTGAGCGCGTTCAGCGTTGCGCATAGCGCGTATTGTTCCAAAGAGCCAGCGCTACAGAGTTGGGTTCAAACATTTTCATGAAGGGGTGGTTTGGAAGAGAGAAATACATTTTCCACCAATTTTGTACGGAAATAAACGTTCAAATAAATCAAACGGCAAAGATCTATATGTCAGTAAAATAAAACAAATATTGAGTGGCTTTTAATTGTGAAATGGGAGGAATATTATCGCTCGGTAAAATCTGGACTTTTCCAGTTCACTCGGCGAAAGTCACTAATCACTTTAAGTCACTAATCACTTTACGTTCAAGTTCCGAGTCTAAGTCCCGAGTTTAATACTTTGTTCGAATCCGAGTCTGAAATAGTCTTTATGAAAATTAAATGCTATAATAAAATAACGTCAGAGAAAAAAATCGGATTGAAGACACTCACCACAGCCAATTTCGTCACCTCTCATCGGGCACTGTGGGTACCCATCGCAAACCTGATTCTGTGGTATGCAGGCAAGCCCAGAGGGACAGGCAAATTCATCATCGTTACATTCTGAAGAAAAAACCAGAAAAGCAAAGAAATTAAAAGTATTTGTTTCGGCAACTACCAGAATAATGATTTTAGTACAGGTTGAATACAGAGAGCAGGGGAGTGTGGACGGAAGGGGTTACGGTTTGTGACTCATGATCAGAGGATCAGGGGTTCTAACCCTTTCAATGGCCATATGTTGTGTCCTTGGGCAAGCCACTTTACCCCATTATGCCTCTCTCTCTCCACCAAGGAGTATAAATGGGTACCGACATCAGCTGGGGAGTAACCAGTGGAGTGCTCTGGCCTAGCAGTTAAGAGCACCGCATCAGACTCATGCTCTGGTGTTTCAGAGGCAGCAGAATGTGGGTTCAAGCCCGGGTCCGGACACTTGTGCCCCTAAGCAAGGCACTTAACCATCATTGCTCATCCTTCGGATGGGAGGTAAAGCCGTAGGTCCCGTGTGTTGTGCAATGCAACGCACGTAAAAGAACCCAGTAACACTTATCTCTAAGACAAGGGGTTTGCCCCGGTGTTTCTGGCCTCCTGTTAAAACTCCCCGACGGAGTATTTAGGAGAAGAAGCTATTACCAAGTAACCGGCGATGGACTGGTTCCCATCCTGGGGAATACAAATATTCTCAGTCGTTTCATGCCAAGGAAACTGGAGATAGACGTCAGCCTGATGGGCCGCAGGAGCTTGTGACAGACTTCACTTGTACTTTTACAAACACGGAGAGCATCTCTTTTGGGTCGACGATTGATCGAACTTACCTACTGGCCTAAGCTCCTCGATTTCCAAATTCAACCGATTGGCGGACGTCATGCTGGTAGAGATGAGAGCTATCCACAGATTGTCAGTCTCTGAAATGATATGCAGCTTGGTGTACGTGCTGTGGCTGCTGACCGTCTCGGCGTTGGATTCCAGTACCGCGCCGTGACCGAAGTATAAAGCGTTGTCTTCCGATAACATGTACTCCCTGTACGTGATCTTGATGCGGTGTCCCGCGGAGGCGGTGACGTACCATACGCAGTTTCGGCCAAACGGAAAGTTGACATCGTCCGGTTCGTAGCTCAGTTGAAGAACGAAGGATTGGCCGTTGGTCACATTGAAGGTGGAGATTCCATTGCAGTGCTCTAATTTTGTTTTTAGGCAAGATTCAACGAAAAGACAATTTTTAGAAAAATAAACAACTCAGTTTTCGAAAACAAAGGGAGTAGATAGTTAGGATGACATATTTTACTTTGTATACTCGGACTCCCTATTATCGCGGCATCCCTATTATCGCGGCATGGGAAATTTCTCTTTTTGCGTTGTCAAAACTCCTTCAAGTGGCGATTTTTATCCAGTTCACCAGTCATCAAGGATTTTCTACCGAGTTGTATAAAAAGGACGATTAAATAATGTTGTGTCTTTCGGGACTTTTAACGATTTTAATAAATATTAACGTTTTCCAAAACTTGCAAAATGTTCCCTCACCGTGTCTGCTAAAAGGTACCGTTTATATTTTAACATAAATCTTTAATTGTGCTCTGTCCATGAAAGTTCCATTGTCTGATTCCCATTCTTCAGCTGCAAATGTAAAATGAAGTCGAACGACGATATTTGCAGCGCGAAATCGTAACAACTTTTACGGGATCAAAATAAGCACCGCGCGTTAGCGAAAATAAAACGGCACACCGTGTAAAGTGAATGGCGCCCTCAATCGCCGATCAGTAGACTTGCCTCAGGGATTTGTGTTCTCCTTTCGGGGGAAGGGCAGGGTCTTAAGAAATCATCCTGCAGAAATATAGTCCTTAATCAACTTGAACGTTACAGGGAAAATATCAGACTTTATTCAGGGGATGTTTTGGTCAAACATTAATTATGAACAAAAAAGTTGGGATCATTATAAAAACCACTTCCCACATACCGCGATAATAGGGAGTCCACCTCCGTTCGCACACGCCGCGCATGTCTATTTTCACAGGCATCGTACACGGAATAGACCGCACCGCCGTCGGATTTTTTTATATTACTTTAAAAAGGAAGAGTTATACTACACAAAAGACAGGACAATTCAGGAAGGTTAGTGGGCAATCTCTATTCCGAACGAAAAACATGATAAGTACCGCGATAATAGGGCAACCCATCCTACTATTTTAAGACCAAAATGATAACAATAATGTGTTGTGCAACGCTTCATCCGAATATCACAATTATTGGGCCACACAATTATTACCCCTTTTCATCAGGCCATGAGTAAATTTCTGCAGCAGTTTGCGATCTGTGCAATCTGGTCTCTATTAACCCCCCCCCCCCCCATAGGTACCCATTTATACTCCCGGTTGGTTCGGTTGTGGTAAAGTGTCTTGCCCAAGAACACAAAAACCATATTCCCATCAGGATTCGAAACCCATTCACCAACATATAGCAAATCCAAGACACAAAAATGTGGCTTCGAAACTCACCACAGTCAGTTTCATCAGTGTTGTACACCCCCATAGGTACGTATTTATACTCCCGTATGGATCGGTTGTGGTAAAGTCTCTTTCCCAAGGACACAAACACACATTCCCATTAGGGTTCAAAACCCATTCACCCACATAGCAAATCCAAGACACAAAAACAAATTGGCTTCGAAACTCACCACAGCCAGTTTCATCAGTGTTGTACACCCCCATAGGTACCTATTTACACTCTTGGTTGGATCGGTTGTGGTAAAGTGGCTTGCCCAAAAACACAAACACCCTATTCCCATCAGGGTTCAAAACCCATGCACTCACATAGCAAATCCAAGACACAAAAACATATTCCCATTAGGGTTAGAAACCCATAACAAATTCAAGACCAAAAAATGGCTTCGAAACTCACCACAGCCAGTTTCGTCAGTGTTGTCGTTACACGAAAGCACCCCGTCACAATGTTTGGAAGCATCTATGCAAAGTCCCGACACAGAGCACTGAAACTGATCTTCTCTGCAAGAAACTACAACAGAAAACAAACAAACAAACAAACGAGTAAGCGGAAAAAAAGAGCACACCACAATCTTCTGCTTACAAGTGTACAAAACCAAACATCTCACAGTACTAATCTAAGTATCTTTAACAGTTCGACGGTGTTTTCACTAAGTGACAAAAACCTCAATATCCGGAAAAAGGTCATACCGAGATAATCCCATTTGAAGTTAATCTTTTTTCAAACCACATTTTCGACTAATTTTCAGTTTTAGATTTGGGAATTTTTTTGCATTGTCAAGTAAGCTATGCTTTGTTCTTTGCTAATTCAAAGTTGCTTGTTAAAAAGTTTTTCTTAATTAAACAGTAATTCATTAATAAAGATATTCTTTACTTCGTGAAAACGGCAAAACACAGAGGCCTCACTGTTTTGTCCCATTACTTTGTACACACTCTTCTTCACTTCGTGAAAACATAAAACCTTGTGAGAAATTGTTACATTTGCGCGTCAAACGTCACTGCAGCGCGCACGTCTGTTCTTTATCAACATCGTTCGCGGTGCGCACCCACTCCTATCCTAACGCGTATGTAGAGAAATGCATTATCCCTCTGGCCCTGCTAACGAGGTAAGTTTTTGTCACTTCGTGAAAACAGAAAAACACGGATTTCAGGCTTTTTGGCAAATGTTTACGGTAATTACAAAAGTAAACAATATTTTGCTTTGAAACTTGGTCAAATTGTTCTTTTGGTCTAATTCGATAAATTGGGCAGCAAATATCAATATCGAAATTTTTTTGATTTTTCAGGTTTTTGTCACTTCATGAAAACATCGTCGAGTTTTCCTTCCTTTTCTACTCACCGGTAGTATTAAAAATGCTGATGCGATATAAAAAAGAGCCGAGCTCCCCGCTCGTTGCAGCAAAAGTCATCCACAATCCATTCGGATGTAGAGATGCGATGGGATAATGATTGCCGGGTAGGTAACTGATAATACTGGAAGTGTTGCTGGGGTTCGTCCCGTCTCCAAACGTGAAAAAGTCCGCGCTACCAATGAATTGCTGTACCAAGTCCATTTGGATTCTGGACAGAAAAGACAAAAGGTGACGAAATTTGCTGTGGGGTCCGTGCGCAGGTATACCCCCCTCAACGGGAAGAAAGGGAGAGTTGGGGAAGACCACTGGGAGCGACATTTGAACGCATTGCGTGCGTGCAATGTCTGACGCTTACGCGAAAATTCTATATGGCTTTGTGCACATTTAGAATAAAATTGGTTGTGCATACTTAGCACGCGATGTCACGTCAACTCCCCCCCCCCCCCCCCCCCCCGGTGGACCGTGCCCCCTCCCCCTTTAAAATCTTGGATTGCACACAAACAATATAAAAGTTGCCTTCAGTGACCCCCTTGAAAAAATGGTACACCCCAGGTGCCCCCTATATACAAGATGAAAAAAAAACCGAAACCCAAATGTCAGGACTATTGTTTTAGTGAAGTTCTGCATGTAGCACTTTCAAAATTTAGGATATGAAAGCCCAATTCATAAGCTATCTTTTGGTACAAAATCATTCAAATCACTTATGTACTTTTAAAGTAACAGAATTTTAAACACAACCACCGTTCTAAAGTTCAAGCCACGGATCACAAGAAGGTAAGTGTTCTTTCAGCAAAACGAAAACAAATCACATAGGGATGTGTGTGAATGGTGTTCGTTTTGCTGAAAGAACGCTACTTTTTGGTGATCCGTGGAGAGAACTTTAAAACGGTGGTTGTGTTTAAAATTCCGTAAGTTTAACAGTACATGTGTGATTTGAATGATTCTTGTACTAAAAAAAAGCTTATGAATTGAGCTTTCATGTCCTAGAGTTAGAAAGTGCTACATGCAGAACTTCACTAAAACAATAGTCCCGACATTTGGGTTTCACTTTTTTTGACTCACCCTGTAGAAGTAAAGTATCCTAGTTATGCCAATGCATGGTGCTACCGTAGATCTTGATCTTAATTCCGTAAACTTTTTAATTTCAAGCACAACATTTAGGGAGGCTTTTCATTCAACTTCCTGAACAAATTTATTTGGCACAAACATTTTTGCTTTGGAAACATTGGAAAAGTTTTGAAAGCTTTGGAAACATCCCCAAACAGGACACCCAATGAAGCGGGAAGCAGATTTAATGGTCGAAATGCTAGTAATTACAATTTTTCTGAAATGCAGAACTGAAATTTTCGAAGCGGTAAAAAACAATGGCACTAATGGGAGGATTAGGTAAAAGAAGAACAAGGTCAACTTGAAACAGGTCTTACATGAGTCCAGGGGTTGCGGTGAAAATCCAGAGACAGGCAGTCTGGGGAGGGAAACCATTATCGGGGGAAGACAGACTGTACGTGAAGTCAGGGTACTCTTCCAAGTTGATGTAACGTTCCCCACAAATGTTTGCTAGATTGACAATGAAGGACAAAAATTGCTTTTTTATAAGACATTTTTGCATTGGAGAGATGTAAAATGGACTTCGCTCTTCAATGACATGTAGATGAAGTGCAAAACCGGGCGATCAGATAGTGTAGGGCCCCTCTTTAGTTTTGATCAAATTTGAATCAAGGGCGTTTTTTATCATTCAAAAATGACTTTTTCAACCTAAAGCAGACTTCTTTCAATTCTAATGACACTTTTTTTGGTAATTTTGAAGTTTCGTGGGGTAAAAATTGCGATTTTTGTATGCAGTTTACGGTTGTGCGATTCAGCGCTGTATTGTGCATTCACGGTACATCGCGGTGATCGCCATCTTCATTTTCATGTTGAGTTTTGTCGTCATTGTCATTTTACCCCAAATTTCCCTCAAAAATTCCCTGCCCTTTATCTACTGTTGGTTCTTAATCGCCATTTAGTATGGTATTTAAGTCAAATAAATCCAAAGTGGATTTTGTTCTCGTATAGGGAACGGGGCCCTACACTGCTACACCTTCGGCCAAAACTCAATATGGATTTTGGTCGGCTTATGAACTGCACTTCGTTTGGAACTCACCAGCAAATTTCCATTCAATTTTACTTCAATGTGTTCTACAACCCCGCGCATTCATTCATAATGTTTGAGCTCGGGCCATATCAGAAAGTATTTTAGTCATGGGAACAAGGAGTTCGCACTAAGTAATTTAATGATATAGCTCTGTGGGTGGAAACGATGTAAGCAACGAAAGAACTTACAACACAACGTTTCATCCAGGTAGTTTGCGCAATTCTCCAGACCGTTGCAAAAATCCCCCTTATTAAGGCACACATGGTTGCCCTCATTATCCACGCACCGGGCGGCATCATCAGGACACTCATCGGCTAAACACAGAAATAAAAAGTTTGGCAATTAACACGTAAGCAAAGTGCCTGATGAATATTCACAGCAGCAAGCTTTACACTTTCATTGGTCAAATGTTAGGAATAACTGTACAAAGTACGAAATGAATATTCACAGCAGACAGATGTGCACTTTCATTGGTCAAATGATGGGCATGACAGCAGAAAAGTATCTCATGAATATTTAGCAGCTAGCTTGCCCTCTCATTGGTCAAACATAGGGAATATCAACAGCAAAGCACCTCATGAATAATCACAGCAGCTAGCTTTGCACTTTAATTGGTCCAATGTTCGACACGACATCGGCAAAGTGCCTTATGAATATTCACAACAGTTAGCTTAACAATTTCATTGGTCAAACATTGGGAATAACACTAGCAAAGAACCTAATGAATATTCACAGCAGCTAGCTAAGCTTTGCACTTTAGTTGGTTAAACATCGGGAACTTAGCAAAGTTATGAATAATCATGCTAGCTTTGCACTTTCATTGGTTAAATATCGGGAACTTAGCAAAGTCATGAATAATCAGCAGCTAGTTTGCACTGCCATTGGTCAAAACGTTTGGCATGACATCAGCAATGTACCATGAATATTCATAGCAACTAGCTTGGCATTTTCATTGGTCAAAATATCACAACACACAAGGCAGGGCAATAAATCCCACATTCACAGTGTGATTCTATTGTACATTTAAAGTAAATCATCAATTTGCTCAACTGTACATACTGCACGACATCTCGTCGGAAAAATCAAAGCATTGCACGACGCCGTCACACACTTCGGATGAGCTGATGCACCGGTACCCGTCCTTACAAGCAAACTGGTCCCCATCAGAGCAGTTCACTAGAACCAAAGTGAAATAAAAAATATAGATAGACCTCTCTTTTATTTATAAACTTTGGACGTCATTTTGTATCGGCCGCCATGAAATGTGAAATTCCAACCATGGTTGGCAAAAGATTCTGCTTTTTTCAATGCTGGTTGGCCGATCAGCTTTAGAGAAACCGGCTTATTTTCAAAAACTGCTTCTCTTTTTTCATATGTAGTTATTCCGCATTTTCTTTGCAATTGATTACACACCTGTGAAGGGGTACAAGCCTGCTAGACTGATTCTCTACCTTACAATTCCCCAAAATCTACAAATTGCTCCATTCATTTCATCTTAAGTGTGGTCAGGGAACCAGACTACAAGAACGTGATACATACATGTATCCTTGGATTTTCCAGCATCTATAAGCCCAAAATGTGAAACAATATTTGCTATAACATACTAATCCTCCAAATCCATTTATTTCTGAAAATTGCAGCAAAAGCAAATGTTGTATATTCCCTTTAAACCAAGTATGCTTTTCAACAATAATTTTGTCAGCTACTTTTTGGATAGCTGCAAATGATCTACTCTACGGGTGTCTGTAGTTGGGTTTTTTTTTCTTACCGAAATCTTCTAAGATGGAGAGATCCAACACAAAATGAGCATCTCCTACAGCGATAGCAGGCTGACTGAAAGCAGAGATCTCTTGCGCATCTTCGAAGGCAATCCAGATTTCGTTGGACCGAGAGACGGCATGGGAGGGCGCTGTTCCTCCTTGGCGATTCCAGACGACGTGACTCATGTTCACGCTGGGGCCGTCCCCGACGGTCAGATTGGTGCCCGGGTTGAGATTGATGCGGAGCGTTTGAACGAGTATCCGTGTGATCGGCGGGGCGGTGACAAACCAGACGCAGATAAATTGTGCAGGGTGGGCGGTGGGGGCGTTTTGGGACGCGAGGGTGTGGGTCCGGTTCGGCTGGAGCTGGATGTTCTGGTCTCCACACCCTGATGCTGAAAAAAAAAACAGTCGAAACGAGAATTGACAAAAATTGGCCACAACACCGCTCAAAATGTGACCTCACAAAATTAGGTCCACATACCCATCTGTTATGATACCGGAGTCTTATAGCGTACGTGTCTACCAACAATTAGGTACTCAAGGCGCTGGGAATTATGTCTATTACTAAAGACAGGTAAATGAAGTTTATGAGAAATATGAGGCCCACTATGTTGCACCTTATAAGGGTTTACAAGGTGCTGCGGCACATATTGCAGCCACGGCCAGAAACCCTTTCTCTTAGCGATAAATGTTACTGGGTTCTTTAACGTGCATTACACAACATACAGGACCTACGGCTTTACGCCCATCCGAAGGACGAAGCAATAATGGTAAAGCGCCTTGCTCAAGAGCACAAGCACCATGTTCCTATGGTCAGGATTCGAACCCATGTGCAACGGCACACAAGTCGAACACCATAACCATTGGACCACACAGCACCCCTTGCCACGCCCCATTCACTGTTAAGACGTCACCCGGAGACGAGTCAAGGCAAACGAGTCAAGGCCTGTGTATAAAAAGGGCCAGTGCGTGTTATCGCTTATTAAATGCTTATTAAATTGAGCGAAGTGTATTTGGTGGAATGTGTATACTTACTGCAGCTGATTTCATCCAGGAAGTTATCGCACTCCTTCGTGCTGTCACAAATCTGTGAGTCAGACAAGCAAACATCTTGGGAAGCAAACGTGCACGATAGCTGCCCGGGACCGCAAGCAACTGTGACACAGGGAAATTATAAGAAGAACACAGAAACATTTTGCTAGTAGATAACAAGGAGACATAATTTCTAAAATATTACTTTAGAAACTTGGTACATAATGAGCAATCCTAGGGGTGTGAACGTGTTCTACATAACTCAACATAACTTTGAATTTATGTGCGTGTTTGTAGAACACAATCAAAATAGATGGATTGAATTTTAAAAGTGTACTCCAAACGCAAAGCGCAAGTAGAAGATACGCAAACAACTTAAGCGCGTCATGACGGTTCAAAAAACATCACGGCGAAAAGCATCTGCAGCGGAGGGACGCGCACACGTTGCGCTGTTTGCGTAGAGCAAAATGACACGCTCATTTGCTGATCGTGCGTTTCGGTTTTGGGCGTATCGGCTTCGATGACGCACCGGTATGGAATACAAACGCAGATATACAAATAGCTGTACAAAAGCCGTACAAAATTTCAAGTTTTCCATAGGTTTGTTCACAAACATGGATGCGCCCATCAGGCATTACTTTGTACATCGAGTTAGCGCTCTAGTAATTTAATATAGCTCTATGGCTGGGATTTTGTGCTGGGGGGGGGGGGGGGGTGCCCTACACTTGACATACCGGAGCAACCTAGTTCGTCTGAATAATCTTCACAGTCGGGCCAGCCATTACATCTCATGCTAGTATTAACGCACTGGATACCTGTGTCACATAGAAACTGCCCATCCATGCACTCAACTGAAAAAAGATAGGACACAATAAATCAACTAATAATATCTTTGGTTGTATCAGAAGTCTGATTTCAAGACTTTATGAAACTTAATCCAAGGTTTTCACTAAAGAGAAAAGTGCGGTTGACACTTCATCAAAAGTTTAATGGAAGAAACCTGTTTTTTACAGCAGGATATTACAATTTGTTTACAATTTTTTTGTCTTTCATGGATCGGGGAGAAAATTAGGAATAAACCTCAGACAAAGTATGATTTTGGGCATTTTATCAAACGAAACTGCAGATTATAAGTTGTGGAACACTGTATAACACGACATGACTAATTAAAGGGAATATACAACGTTTCTTTTTGGTGTAATTTCAGAAATGGATGGATTTGGGGGTTAGTATTTTATAGCAAATATTGTTACACTTGTTTGAAGTTTTGTGCTGGTAGATACAAAAAAAAACTCAAGAAAAGAATCATGTTCCTGTAGTTCCCTGACCCCACTAAAACAGAACAATCGATAGACGTCGTGGAATTGTAAGGTCAGGAAACCAGTCTAGCTGCCTCACACCCGTTCACGGACATGTAACCAATTGCAAATAAATGTGGACTAAATAAATTTGGTAAATGGGTCATTCCATGTCAGACCAACGCACTTTTTTACCTCATGTCTTCCGATTTTAATAAAAATTGCTGTGCTTGTAGGTCCTAATGAGCAATGAATGCACACCAATTTTTAGCCCGATCCGACCTACCATGTGGTCAGGGCAGAAGCCACAAAAAAATTGCATTTTTAGAGTAAAATACCACCCTTTTGGTATAAATATGTCAAAACTATGGCAATTTTCATCGAATATATGTGAATTTGGTATTAAAATAATGAGGATTGCATGCTCAAATCACTTCTTTTGTCAAAATTAAATTTTGTGAAAAGTAGGTCACGTGACCTTTAATATGCTATTGTGACCTTTGACCCAATTTTTGTAATAATGTATCATTCCGAAAATCAACGAAATAAAAATAACTTGCTAGAGCATGTCTTCCTCTATCAGAATCTACTAAAAATCAGTTGGGGTCTTTAAAATTTACAACTTTATGACTATTTTTGTACAGTTGGTAGGTTACAAATGAGTCAATTTATAGACTTTACATAAGAAATACACCAACACAACTTACTATTCTGTTTCTTAAGTTAATAAAATTTATCTAGATTTTTATGTATAAAGTACAAAGCCAGGAAAAACAAAATTCTACCTTCTGATTCCAAAGAAACTGTCTAATCAGAATATTTGGACTCGGAAGTGTGCTAACCACTAACAGTAACCAGGCCTTCACCCAGTACAGCGGACTCACGTCCAGGTGAAATTCATCTCAAAGGAACAAAATGCCAAGTCTGTGAGAGTCATTAAAGTTCAAGAAGCACAGTGATGAATGAGTAAAGGTAACTTTGATTGTAATATTAAGTATTATCTTCAAGCAAACTTGAATCATAGACCCTGATTAGTCCATCTATAGCAACAACTGTGTGATTTTATATAATATTGCACAGCTATATTGCACCCCAGATATTAAAAATGTACGTGTACATATGTTGTGTTATTTCCTGCTGAACGGACCAATACACTACATGTATGCACGTACATCTTCACCGCGTGTACGCATTTGATATCAAGTTTGCTTGAAGATAAATTGGTTATAAATCCCACTTGCGCTCGTGGAACACGGAATTATGTAGTGCATCGAGTGGCATATGGGTCACAGCAGCATTGCATTATTTCATATTCCAAGCGCGCTCGTGGGATAACTAATTATCAGTGGCACCCAGGAGGGGGGGGGGGGGGGGGCTTGAACCCACCCCCAACATTGTCAATTTGTTTGTTTGATTTTAGGCTAGTTTTGTTGGTCCAATCTTTTACAGAAATTTGAACACAAAAAAAATTATGACGCCCCCCCCCCCCCCACCAAAAGCCAAATCCTGGGTGCGCCACTGCTGATACTTTACACTATGAGTCTGGTTAGACCTCATCAGCCCCCAGAATGAGAAATTCACAAACCAAGATATATTTTAGAAACTTTAGAGACAGAATAGTAAGTTGTGTTGGTGTATTTCTTATGTAAAGTCTATAAATTGACTCATTTGTAACCTACCAACTGTACAAAAATAGTCATAAAGTTGTAAATTTTGAAGACCCCACCTGATTTTTAGTAGATTCTGATAGAGGAAGACATGCTCTAGCAAGTTATTTTTATTTCGTTGATTTTCGGAATGATACATTATTACAAAAATTGGGTCAAAGGTCACGATAGCATATGAAAGGTCATGTGACCTACTTTTCACAAAATTTAATTTTGACAAAAGAAGTGCTTTGAGCATGCAATCCTCATTATTTTAATACCAAATTCACATATATTTGATGAAAATTGCCATAGTTTTGACATATTTATACCAAAAGGGTGGTATTTTACTCTAAAAATGTCAGTTTTTTGTGGTTTCTGCCCTGACCACATGGTAGGTCGGATCGGGCTAAAAATTGGTGTGCATTCATTGCTCATCAGGACCTACAAGCACAGCAATTTTTATCAAAATCGGAAGACATGAGGTAAAAAAGTGCGTTGGTCTGACATGGAATGACCCATATGTGGGTAGCCATGATTTTCCAGGATGCTTTAGTCTGTCATTCACTAACAGTCCAGTAAGGTATTTCAAAATAACTTTATAGTTTTGTTTTTTTGACGTTTTAAAGACAAAATGTCTCCTCGCACTTACCAGTCTCATTAAGAGCGCTGACCTCAAAATGGATCAATACGTCGAGCGGAGACAGCACAAATGCTTCCGCCAAAGCATCGATGTACGTAATCCACAACTCTTGCTCTCGGAAAACTCTCACTTTTGGTGCGGCCGCGAAGACTTTGAAGCCGCGAATGAATAGAATGTCTGGATTTTCGTCCAGCGTTATGTAGGCGTCCGCAGTCTTGGTCACGTAAAAAAAGGTCACCAGGTCGCTTGTGAAATTCAAGAAACGCAGCAGGATTCTGCTGTCGGGCGGCGCGACAAAATGCCACGTGCAGGCCGGGCCCGCTCTGTTCGTGACAAATGGTGGATTCGCGATGCCGACCGGACGGCTGTTGGTCAGGTTGAAGTCCGTTTCCCCGCATTCTTCTGCGAAAAACAAAGACAAACAAAGTCAAGCTGGACTCGCTGTATAAATCTGATGCAATCAGGCTAAATGAGTCGTTTGTCTGGATTTTTCATCTGGAGATACAGGCCAAAATGGGACCACTTCATCACATCACTTCATCACATTTCTTGGTGTTCCGACTTCCATAATTTTTGAACTAAAGATGGTATCAGCATGCGGTTTTCACAGCAGTAATGCTGAGATTGTGCTCTTTTCAAATCTGTAAAAAAAAAAAAAATTGACCATGGTCGACAAACGACTCATGTAGCGTGACTGCATCACAAATTCAGGGTCCATAGTGTGCCATTTTTCCCAAAGTATTTTTTTGGAAAACCAGGAGATATAAGAAAAGACGATGGCCCAAGTGAACCTTGGCTGAAATACGACTTAATATCCCTTTTTTAAGACTCTTTCATTTGCGACAGATCAACCCACCTTGGAAATTCCTAGTTTTTGAGTAAAATCCATATATCTATTTCGTGAAAAACTTGTTGAGACGTATTCATCTATAGATATTGCCCTGTGGAGACGTATACAATCTTTTGTACCCTATTGTGTGCATGTCTCCAGAGGGCACGGTGTATCAGATCATTCTTACCACAGTTCAATTCATCTCTTAGATTGCAGTCGCTGTTACCATCGCAGACAACATGCGTGTCAAGACAAGCATTGTCGCATAAGAAATGTGCCTCGCAATCTGGGAATCAGAAAATGATAAATCTCATAAATGCTACGAGTGAAAAAAGGTAAAAACCTTCTTAGAATGTGTATTGTTTACGTGAAGACTTAACCAGCTCAAATTATCACCTTTTAAAAATAAAACAAGATTTCAATGTTGCAAGGTTTTCAGCATTATTTTTAATTGTAGATATCTGTCTCTTTGAAGTCTTTCATTGAGAACTTGCTGTTTTTGAATACTGAGTAATAATGCTATTTTTTTTCTCAATTTTTCACAGAACTTTCACAAAAAAGTGAAATCTTGCCAGAATTAATGAACTTCAAGTACCCATGCAAATCAATGTTTTAATGCAGTTCCTGAAAATGCACCTCTGTTTTTTATGTAGCCTATTTTCGTTTTGCAATTTTCAAGAGAATTTTTGACTTAATATTCATTTACAGTCAAGGTATTTAATAATAATCTGGTAGGTTTGTTTTTTTTGTCTGCCAATATGTTGCGATGGATACCGTCAACTCAAATTGTAAAAAATAACAAAGTTTTGAAAAGTCGCATATATTAAAAGCCCAGACGTCTCTATAGTCCGAAGTACCACTGGACCGACGTCCCATTGGTCCGAAGTCCCATTGGTCTGAAGTGCCATTGGTCCGAAGTCCCATTGGTCCGACCGCCCATAGGGTTAGGGTTAGGGTTAGGGTCAGTCAACCTGAACCAGTGGAACTACACAGTATTATGTTTCGTCGGACCAATGGGACTTCGGACCAATGGGACTTCGGACCAATGGGACTTCGGACCAATGGGACGTCGGACCAATGGGACGTCGGACCAATGGGACGTCGGACCAATGGGACGTCGGACCAACGGTACTTCGGACTAACGAGACGTAACCATTAAAAGCACCACCGCAGTCTTTTTCCATACTTCATACTGTCAAAATAAAAAAAAATGTTACAATTCTTTGAAGAGTACCTGTTTCATTGGCAAGCGTCAACCTTGCAAAGGACAGATTCCAGAAGGTCTCCTCCGAAACCTCTCCATCGGACCCATAATAATTCACACGGAGCTGCGAAGTTTCCTCGAAGGGGACGAAACGAATCCGGTCTAATCCCGTCGTCAACTGGATTGACTCATCGGAGGCGGGTGATGCAAAATACAAGGTGAACAAATCGTCGAAATTCGGCAGAGCTGGTGCAGGGTCCAGAATCTCGATAGAAACCCACTTGCTGTGTTGATCCGTGGCTGCAATATTCCATGTTATCGAGTTCAGGCAATCGCTGGGAGATCGAGGCAAGTCGCTGGTTGACGCAAAGCTGGCGCTGGTAGAGCTGACGTTCACAGGGTGGATTATCTCACTAACAGTGCAATTTTGTTGTCCTGTATGGATAAAAGTTGCATAGATTGATTGCATTTAATCTTTGCGGTCAGCGACGCTATGTTGATTCATTAATTTAACATAAGCAATCAATGCACAATAAGAGGTCTACCCATGTCTGTCCCAGTTGACTGGGTTGAACTGAAACTTAAAACAAAAATTAAAAGTTAACCTAAAACTCCAAAATAAGCTCCACAGCCTCAACATGTGACCCACTTTAACCCCAGAAAATGAGTCAGTATTAACATGGAACTAGCTCCATGGTATTAATGAGTTTACCATTTCACATCGGATGACGTGTATACACGCAAATGTTTTGCGCGGTACTCGGAACGGATGACCGATGAACACGCAACCACCGAGGCCGGAAATATCAGGGTGTGCCGGCAGATGAAGGCCTGAACCCGTCTGGCATCGAGATTCGTGAAAACAAATCCCGCGTCTGGGTCCGGTCAATCTCAAAATAAACCTTTCAAACCCATGGCATTGATACAGTTGTCAAATGAAAAGTCTATTTCATTTGACATGTTTGACAAAACTCGATCGATTTTCATGTTCTTTACACAATCACTCACAGTCGTGAAAAACAAGTTAGGCATTCCGAGATGTCCAATTCTGTGACAAAAAAAATGTTCCTAAACAAGAAGCTGCTGTCGCTGGACTCGACTGTGTCTGAAAGTTCTTAAAACAATTTTACTGTTAAAACAAAAACAATCGAAGTTCACAACTCCCGGCTGGCAAAATTAATGCAAATATCGCGCTGAGCGGATAAGAAGAAACCAAAACAGCGCCCTCGATCGGTACAGAATTAACTTTTCCTCATTCTGGTACGTTCCCAGCTGTCCCCGTTGTCATTCGGATTTCAAATATATTCAGATTTTTTTTTGTGTGGGGGGGGGGGAACAGTCTTTTCCTCATAGATATAATTTTGAGTGTATCACGGTCCCCCCCCCCAAAAAAAAAGGTAATAAAAAAATGTATGTAGGTAAAAGTATGCAATTTTTATTCCAGTATACCATAACTAACAGCCATCAAGTTTCTAACATCGTATCATCAAATCACGGAGGAATTTAAAAAGAAACTTAAAAAAATCATTGAGCAACTTGGAAATTTGCCTAATAACTGTATACAATTGTTGGTAATTTATTGGAATAATTAAGCAATTCGACCTAGGCTAACATGTTGGACAGAAGCATCAATGTTGTCGTCGGCTGATTTATGAGCCCGGATCCTCCCCCCGGCCCGAACCGCAAAAACATCGGCACGAAAAGCCTGCTAATCCACCCCTTGACAGCTTCTCCATAGGCGGATCCAGGATTTTTCAAAAGGGGGGAGGGTTCCAGCCAGGGACATTACAGAGGCGTCAATCGCTTCTCAAAATTGGGGGGGGGGGGGGTGACATACCTCGATCAGAACTACTGCGCGAACCCGCTTAAGGGCCGCGCCCCGGGGAAAAATGGATTCTAGACTGATGTTCTGTGGTGCGATATGAGGCAATTTCTGACCACTTTAACCATTTTTTAAAGCAAAATTATCATTTTAACATCATTTTCGAGTTTGGAGTCATTGAACCGGCTATTCTGAGCTATAGAATCACAATCAGGTTTCAATTTTTATTCGGGGACGAATAAAAAAAATTGTATATAAAAATACTTTTAAATATGATGACATAAAGTAAAAATTGCAACAGTGCTCACCGGAAACTTTTGTTTATTTTTTGAACAAAAGATTTGTTAACTTAAATATATGATAAAAAAACAAAAGGAGGGGTTCCAGACCCCCTGGCACCCCCCCCCCCCAAATCCATCTATGCCCCCTTGAGACGAAGCTGGACCCGCCCCTGATATGGTAACTTTCGATTCCGGCAGCTGACCTTCAATGTTGCGTCAATAATTAGGCCTAAAAACGGGGATTGTTAGAAATAATTAAAAACATGGAGGCGAAAGCGGCTTGATCCATCTCGAAGCTAATGCCGATAGCAATGTAATTCTCTCATCACACTTATATCTAATGCATTTCTTAATGCAAATTGCATGACTATTATAGTGGATAGGCTACAAGGCCGGCTGTCGCGTGAAAGAATTGCGACCCCGTGCATAATTATTTCGTAACTATACAAAATCCCTTTAAAATTGCATTTTTTTCTCAAGGTGAACCGTATAACGAGCGCAGTCCAAGGGGTATATGAATCAAGTTACATATTTTGGATGAAGAACATGCAATCTAGTCTACGGAATACCCCTTGCACTAGCAACGGTCTATGATTATGCGAGCAGATTCGGCGATTAATTTAATGCAAAACAAGACTTCGTCTTGACCTCGAGATTATGACCATTCAGCGGGCGCATTCTATATCGGATTATCGGGTCTTGTGTTGTATTACAAAAACATGGCATCCAAATTGACCAATCAACAGTTTAGTCCACATTTCTGATCGAAATGACGTCACACTTCTAAAGTCGACTCAAAATTTGTAGAGTAATCATTAATTTCATTTTTATTTCATTAGGTCAGTTTTTACAAAATGTCGTGGCCAATTTTTTTAATGCAAAATCGCCCAAGCAAGGATATAAAAGCCATTTTTGGCAAAGGGCTAAACAGAACAAAATATGATGAAAAAACAATCAGGAAAGGCGGAGGTAGGAATTGATACTCCTCTGAAAACATTCCTGTACTTCAATCAACAAGAACTTATAACAAATAATAATAATAATAATAATAATGGGTATTTATAAAGCGCAAGCATCCACCATTATCAGTGGTGCTCAAGGCGCTACATCATTATTACCCTGCTCATAGGGGCATTGAAACGTTCCAAAGTATACCATCTCAGCTCCCTGGGGAGTAAACAGCTCGATGCTGCCATTTCGGCGCAAAGCAACTCTAAACAACCACAATATCTCTGCCCACACAGGTATGGAGAGAAGCAATGAGTGACAAAGTGCCTTGCCCAAGGGCACACGCACCATGGCCCCAGGCTGGACGCGAATGTTTTATTTACACAATAGTACAGGGTACCCATTTTCAGGCTGGACTCGAACCCACAACCTGCAGACTACCGCAGACCACGAATCCAACCCTCCAGACTACGAGGCCACGGCAGAGAGGGGGATATAATTATAAAAACAACAAAGATAACCAAATAAAACTAAACGTGGCCGAGAATTACAGTGAAATCTCGATAACTCAAAGCTCAGGGGAATTGGCTCAAATTTAGAGTTAAGCAGAGTTTTGAGTTATCCAATGAATTTTCTTTTCAACAACAATTGATGGGAATAAGTTCATTAAGTATTTACTTTGCGTTAAAAGGGTTTTTGAGTTAAGAGGTTTTTACTCAATGTCGCAGTACTGCCGTTTGATGTCTCATTTCTCTTTTGTAGGCCTATACATAATATTTCAAACAAAAAAACAACTAAGAAATTTAAAAACATTTCATCTTTAAGCACTGTTTTTAGGCTAGTATTGTATTTTACTTGCACGTTTTTCAATTTGGTAAATTTTCTTCCAAAGAAGGGAGGATGAAGTTGACGAATCAAATCAAGTTGAACTTACCGTAGCAGATCGCACTGTTCGCCAAAACGAACAGAAGGATCACCCGCCATCCACGATGAAGTCTCCACCCGGCGGCCTGCATTGTGGAACGACA